CGCCTCACTCAGCAATATTCCAACAAAATTACGTCGGTTTGTAAAAGTTCGAGTCTGGACCATACAATCCACTGATTGACATCATGAGCATCGATCCACGCAATTGGCATACGAGTACATGCATCAACCAAGTCAGCGAGCCTGACCTACCGATCCCGTTAGTCGCCTCTTACAACAGTAAATACAGTCGTCTTTTACGCCAAGCATGGGTTGCTGAAGACCTATTCTACACCGGATCTTCACGGGTCTCATACAAGACCTTCCCCTTGTACATCTACTGTCCCATGTATGCCATATGGAACTGTGTCAATGAAAATGATGTGTGCCAATTTCGAACTATCGATTACCATCTTTTGAATATTCATATGACATATGATATATACATCTAAAATACCTTTGCGTTTCTTTTTGTGCAGAGTATATGTTGGATCGGGCCCCTAATCTCCAGAATATATACAGGTAGATATGTATTGCTTAAACCATGTAATGACTTTATAGATGGGGCAACATGCCGGGATTCAAGTGCGTTCTTTCGGAAGAGGATTTGTGGACAGCCAGCCAAATCTGCCGGAGGACGGGCGGTCGCTGCAATTTAACTGATTTCTGTCACTTCCTTTATATGTCGAATCCTTCTAAATAGAATGTATTAAACTATGAATCAAAAAGCCAACTAAAATGAATACTAGTTCATAAACAATTATGTATTGTCAACAAAGACTAGTGAGACCAGTGATAGTGTATTACTTTTCTGGGTCTAACAACGTTGCATTGTATGCTATAATATAGAAACATATGCTGTGTTAACAATGTTTCATCTCTTGGGCGTAGGGATATGCCAAGTATTTCAATAGGTTGCCTATATATGTAGCTTAATGCTACACTCTGGTATGTATCATGTTGCATATTGTATTCCCATTTACCAGGAAATATTTTAACAATATATTGTTGTGAACGAAGATATTAATAATTAGTATATGATGACTTAATTGGCATCGAACAGCTTCTTGAGAATACGAGCTACCAACCATAGCCTTCAAGATATGTCAAATGGTTGTCAGTGTACAATGTGTATTTCTGCAATATTATGTAGTCGGATAAGATCGTGTTTACGTCTTAAAATGATATAATGATCTATAAGCCTGCTAAAGCCTGGCAAAACATCAGACGATGCATTTCGACGACGTTATTGCGTTTGCCAAAATGTCGCCATTGTTTGTTTCCAGCAATCAAAGATTTTTCAATACTGTGTTTTTTTCTTTAAACACTCACCAGAGCTAATGTAGCAAGCTGTGATAATTATATTGAGCACGATGAAATACATATACGCGGGTTCACTCGTGAATAGGACCAAATGAAAATCAGTAACAGTACATTGGTATGTATTTATGCTAGTCTAGGCATGTAACATGTGAACAAATTGGTTGGCATACGTCTTTCAAACATTTTAATGTCATCATTATCAAGGAACTTACGACTTACAATATATATACACAGCTAATATTTTGAATCCACCTGAGTTAACTTCTCATTCATGCAGAATTTCAACTAAAAACAAAACCATGCAGCAAATATATGCAGGCATCAAGTGACCAGTATTCTCTGCTTATGAAAATGGACAAAACTGGCTACCGTGCCGTCATCAAGTGTCTCCAACTAAATGAAAGGGCTAATTCCAGCAGTATTCAACATACTGTCAGCGATGATGTATAATGGTGTGATTGCCGAGCAACAACAAGAACAGATCCCGATTCTTCCATCTTTCTCCAGTATAAGCAGTGCAGTCTACCGTCAGTGTAGGGAGACCAGCCTTGCCTCAGACCAAAGTTGAAGTTGATCTCCTTTGGGAGTGGAGACAGCGCTCTCTTCTCTTCGGCGATAGAGAAGAAAAGAAGACCCAACCCTTCTCCACACAAGATAAGTGGCAAGCACTTCAGGCAGCAGATACAATATACATGGATGAAACTTTACCCTCTTGTCAAGCGCTTTGGGAAATCAGGTTGATATAATTCATGCTTTGAGTGGGTGTGCTTCTTATGCATAAGAATACATACTCTAACGTGATCGTCAGATTGCAATCTATATGTACCGTAGATTGTTCAGCTTTCTTAAGACACGCGTACAGCAGAAGCTCGGTTGTAAATTTGCTTTTGGCACGAGTTGGGTTGAAGCTATGGATTCTTGCCCGATTTTCCCCGTGCCAAGGCATTCAAAGACGTCATGATCACGAACTGGGTCGACATGCAACTTTTTCCATTTCACGTATGGAACCATAACCAGACAAATGGCCCACGCACTGACAACATCCTTGAAGGGTTCCACCAGATCGAACCGTCTCTTAGCATACTATCATCCCAACACCTACAGATTCAGCAAGGTCGTACAACAGATCAAGGCTACAGACAAGGCAAAACTGACACAACTGAACTTCAGTGCAGCACCACCTTGCCGGATGAAGGTCTACAGACCTTGGAAATTGTATCTGACGCCTAAAAGACCAGCTCTCCAACAGGAACAAAGTTACCAATGCAGCACCTGGATGCCACTGGTCATCTGCTGAAACGTGTTTGAGAGAGATTGTGATGTTGTATGTCACTGTTTATTATTATGAATATCAATATTTAGGATAATGTTATATAATGTTGTGTCCAATAATATTGTATGTCTCTGGATTAAAGATAGTGTAATATAATAAAGGGATGAATAAAAATATTCAAGATAAGGTAAGATAATCAATTAAAATAAAAAAAATTTGCATGTCAAACAATCTGGTGTTGTATTGTTCTGCCTGGATCATTCTTTTTTAACGGTGAGCTAAGTGGAAGGGATTAGCCCGTCAGTCACCCCTGTCCTATTTTGTTTTATGGTGTGTGAAAGATGGCATGTGTGACAAATTGGTGTGTGTGGTGGGGGGGGGGGGGGGGGGGGCTCTGATTGGTCGGATGAAAGATCGTTCTGACGTGACCCCTAATGGGATGTCCTCAGATCTTTGTTTAGTGGTAGCGAGAACTAAGATCTGATTTTAATGAGATTGATGTCAGTGTACAGAGGAAACTGCACGCCATGAAATACAGTGCTTACTGAGTTGGTTGCACTATATGATACCGTAACCGACGTGATCATGAATCCACGAAGTTTTCATTTCTGCGTCCAGAAACAGCCATAATTCCAAGGACACAGGGGGCACGGGTGGCCCAGTCGTCTAAGGCGCCGCGATTCGCTGTGCAGAGTTGCGTCCCTTGGGCACGCCAGAAACCTATGATTGTGGGTTCGAATCCCGGTTCACCCCAATTATGTTTCTAGGTTTGTCAGCACCATACCCGTGCTCGTGGGTTTCACCGAAGTGGTAAACGTCTGAGACCTGCATCACTTCGGGCTTTCCTTCCACATTTAGCTGACACGCCGTGATATAACTGGAATAATGTTAAAAGCGGCGTTAAACCCAACTCACTCACTCACTCACTCCAAGGACACAACTTCGTTGTTGCTGTGGCACAGACACGGTGGTTTCAATATGTTTGGGTTAAGCCGGCACCATGTCAGATATGGTTAACCATCATCTTGCCATATTTCTTCCCAGGGAATACTATTTGGTTATTCGACAAGGTAAATAAAATTCTCCGATCTATTATTAATGTGTATGCGCCATCTTGATTGACAGTTATGACAGAACGATGTTGCCATGAATACGTTAGATACGGGAAGGTAATTTGAACAGCGTCATAAGGTCAGACAGGTATCACGTAACTCAAAAAGGGTATTTATACGCTGGATAAAGTACAATCGGCGCCTTGGACTGTTACCGAAGCATCTTAGAAGTTGTATTAATAATGTATCAGCGAGAAGCCGATCAACGTTATTTCACACAAATATCTCACTGAAGATGGACAATGTATTTTTTTCTGAAGTTTATCATGGAAACTGACCAATGTATTAATAGAAGATATTTGTCTGTTTGGGTCAAATAACGTGCTTATCTCACCTTGGTGATTTTGCCATGATTGGCGCAAGTCATCAGATGAGATAAACACGTTTATTTAACACGAAAAAAACTGTTTCAGTTGTTATGTATTTTATTTCATGATTTTCATCTGTAATGATTGTCTTTGAGGAAGTAGTTCCAGAATAAAGCGTTATATGTCACTCGACTCAAATATCGATTTGTATATGGGAGTAAACAGTTTTTCAACACTTACTTAATAATATTAACTGATATTTCACAAGGAAGCATGTAGCTATAGTACTGCTAATAACATTTATTTCATGAAAACTAGACCACGTTTCACCCTTATTTTGAGTCACTAGGTGTAGGGATTTTTTTTGAAAACGTAGGGTCAGTGGTTGAAATAATATTAAAATATTAAATCATACTTTAAGTGTTTTCAGGAAGATATTGTCCCCATGATGAAATAAAGAAAAAGGCAAAGAAAAGGTGATTGTTAGTTCTTCCTATAGTCACCGTCTTTAAGGTTTATTTATTACTTAAATAACTTACGCAGAAGAAAAATGTTTGGTCGTCGAATAAGTACACAAAGTAAAAATAAAAGCCTTACAGCATTACTATATCTCTTTTGTGGTATTGCCAATTTATGTGGATGAAACTCGTCAAAACAGGATATATTTTTGATGAGCCGCCATATATTATCGAAAATGTAACACAGGAACTTTTCAACGCATCGTATATGTATACACAGCAACGCTTAAAAACATACATTGTTTGTTGGATCAAACATGCATTCCTTCCAATTAGCAAGTTAATGCTTTATAAAGTCTAAAGATAACAAAATAGGAAGGCATTATGTATTCCTTCCCGTGCATACTAAACATTCATCAACAACAATATATATCTTACAGGGGAAAAAAATATTCCTATCCGTTATCACTGAGCATAAAACGTTTATTCCGCGAAGTAGTGACGTCATCCACTCATTTTACAAACTCCACGCATTGTGCACGGCGAAATAGCAGCTACAGTCACTGTAAGGAGCTTGGCATAAACAATGTATTTGAGCGAGACAGTTCAACTGTTTCTGAACGCATGTGTCATGTATCAGTTCGGATCAATTAGACCAATTTGCCATCAATCAAAGATGGTCAATAACTCCGATAACACTTTTATCTTTAACTCATTAATAATTTGAGTCAGTTCGCGTTTTCAAACAGCAGTTTAGCTTGAAATACGAACAAGAAACACAGAGGCATGAACATTGTCTGATGTCCAAAACACAACCACGGAGCAAGTCGAAACATGCCCACCACGACAAGTCTCGGCGAGATACCATTGATCGCCCCTCGGCCACTATAAAAGCTGACCGGCTCGCTGAGTAAGATCAGTCTACACACAAGTCACTCGCTAGCAGTTGGAAGGCGTTGGTATATCTAAAACGGCATTAAATAGCACCGGAGAAATAAAAAACAACAACTAAATATCTACTGTCATCATTCAAAAAAGGTAACTTGTGGAACACATTCCACAATAACTATTTTTAAAGAAAAAGATCAATTATTTGATAAATTTACGTAACGTAACGTAAACACATGTTTGCTGCATATAATACAAATAGTTATAGTATGCAAATTAAATTACCTTGAATAAGAAAAAACAAAAAGATTGTGATTTCTCAATAAACCTTGACAGGAAAACTTTCAATGTCTTCTTTTAGGATAACCTTAAAATGAACAAGACAATTAATGTAATTACTTCAGCATTTCCGCTGCAAGGGTTAGTAATGAAACTGAATCGATATTACAAATATACTTTCATGTATGTATGTATTAATGTAGTTGTGTTTTCATTTTCCACAGGTTCAACATGGCTTTGCTTCCTCCTGGTGGACTTCCGGAGATTGTTTTCTCCTTTGACACTACTGGCTCCATGTGCGACTGTCTCGCCGAAGTCAGAGGTCGACTCCAGGACATGATACAGCGGCTCCAGGCTGACATCCCCGCCGTCAGAATCGCCGTCTTCGCACACGGTGACTACTGCACCAAATCCACATATGTCACAAAATGGATCGACTTCTCCACTGACGTCAAAGGGCTCTGCGACTTCGTCATGAACGTTGAAGATACAGGAGGCGATTACGACTACGGCGAGTGTTACGAGCTTGTTCTCCGACAAGTGAGGGAGGAGTTGTCATGGACACCAGGATCTAACCGTGTTCTCGTCGTCGTCGGGGACGACAAGCCCCACGAACCAAACTTCAAAGCCAATAAACTAAAAATAGACTGGCAAACGGAGACACAAACTCTGAATGAAATGGTGTGTTGGATTTCTATTAATTTCCAGGTTGTGGTCATTTTCAGACATAAGTCAAATAATAAGAACACGACACTCACCAGTCAAACACCTTTGAGTCGACGTTGAAGGGACTCACGTAAATGTATCCGAGTAAAGTTATTCGGGCTTCAACTAAACCGAAAATGATGAATGAATAAGAAAGGTGCAGGGACCTTTTTTTACTTCGCGACAACTATCGTAAATTCGACACAACGATGTTAATTCACTTATTCCATTTATTGATTTTGATTTCAGGGAGTAAAAATCTATGGAGTTCAGTGCGACACGAACAATACGACGTTCTACGAAACCATTTCCAACAAAACAGGAGGTCGGCATCTTAAATTGGAAAACTTTACAAACATCTTTGACTTCCTTATGGCCATCTGCTACAGGGAACAGGGGGCAGAGATTCTTCATGTAAGTTGAAATAACTGCACCACTTTAACATCCGAAGAGCGGCTGTCATTTTAATTCTATGATATTCGTCATAATAAAACTCCTTTCATCAATGATTATTTGCCCTCATCAGGTGTACGAGAAAGAGGTTAGAGCCCGTTGCGCTGATGGTGCCCTCAGCAAAGACATGGAAGGAATGTTTACATCCCTACGTGATGGAATTGTCTCCCCTTCTCAACCAAAGACAGCGATTACAATCAGTGCCGCTAAGAAAGATGTGAAGGTTCCCACCTTGACGAAAATAACATCCATCCAAAGAGTCAGAAAGGCCAAACCTAAATCCATCAGAAAGCCAAGAAAGAAATCGTTCAAGGTAAAATATTCTCTCAATTGTTTTTAAATGCGCGATCACAGTGTTTAATTCTTGATTTCATTGTGTTAGGCTATGATCATGTCAAGGAGTCTCATGATACATTATATTATTCCAGAAATCAACAAAGTTTGTGACACCTCTTCTGAGAAGAGAGGAAGTTTTTGAGAACAACTTCAGCTTGAGAAACATGGACTGGTCACCGTGGGTCAAAGTTGTCTCCCCTGACGTTCCACTCAAACAGGATGCACAATGGGAAAAAAGACGGGGTGCCAACCCTGGATTCAGAAAGAAGACAATCTTCAAGTCTGAGAACAATAAGCCAGCTCTCTATGAGATCGGTGTTCAGTCCATCCGGTACGCACGAAGGTGTGTGGTATTCAGTAAATTCTGTCACTATATTCCCGATAATGTTAATTGGGAAACACGGCTTCTTGGAAACAAAATTGTCAGAGCTCAGGTGAACAACGTTGTGTCTCAGGACTGCAGTGTCTATGTGCGGAGGGTGGTGCATAGAAGAGCATTAAACCACGTCAAAACAGCCTCCATGATAAAGTCCTATGACTACGCATGGAGGCGTCTGAGGAGATCACGATCAACTGCTCGACATGTGTTCAAACAAGGCAGCACAATTTCATCAGACAAAGTATAGAATGTTTCTGAACATTGACACACATTCTTTGATATATGCTAACAGATACAGAGATATGGACGTTTTTCTAACATGCCATATATCAAAGGACACTCTGGAAAACACTGGCACATAAGAGGCCAAATTCATAAGTATATAACTTTAAAAAAACATCGAGATCGAATCTCATATCATACAACTTGCCAGATATTTTATGTGAATGAGAGGGCATGATGTGTCATTAAAGTGCGTGACTGAGAATGTGTGTGCTCTACCGAATGATGGACAGATGAACGTTATTTTCTGTTATGTGAAACGCTGTATATATTTGATTGTTCATATTACGATGTATATATATTCATATCATTCATTGACCTACAATCTATACTTCATTTTAACATGTGCAATATCAGAATAGGAATGAATAAAACAAACTAAAAAGACTTGCATATACTTTTTTTTCTTTGAAAATGTCTACTTACAAGAGTGCATCCTCCTACCCAAAACGTGGCCTTTGTTTCACACAGAAGAAGGCGGTCGGGTAGCCTAGTGGTTAAAGCGTTCGCTCGTCACGCCGAAGACCCGGGTTCGATTCCCGACATGGGTACAATTTGTGAAGCCCATTTCTTGTGTCCCCCACCGTGATATTGCTGGAATATTGCTAAAAGCGGCGTAAAACCATACTCACTCACTCACTCACACTGAAGACATAAACTTTCCCTTTTCTCGATTCAGTTTCATTTATTGCGCCCTGACATAGACATATAGCAACATTCACTCATATCACACACACACAGGGGCCAAAATACATATTGTGTATGTTCGTAATTCACATACTTTTAACTTACATAGTCAAAAGAATATAGAATGTACTCATGTTTCATCTCAATTGTGTACAATGTATTTACTGCACATTTTGCATGCATTATTATAGTCAAATTTTGCAGTGATTTGCTATTCCTTTTCGCTTATAATGAAATACTTATGTTAACATCCACGATCTGAAATGCATTGGGCTGTCCCCCACCTTGAGATGATGCGCAGTTTTATAATCTTGCAAATATAAATACCCGAATACATGCATTAGGTTAAAAAAATAACGTTATGACATAAATAATAGGACCAAATTGCATCTTATGTATGTTCGTAATTCACATATATTCTTTAAAATATATTCATGTTTCATCTCAATTTGTACAATGTATCTATCGCACATTTTGCACGCATAATTCAGTCAAAAGTTGCTGTGATTTGCTTTTCTTGTTTTCTGCATCTAATATATTGAGTTTGAAAATTATATCGGTGTGTAATATTGTTGCATTGACAGTAGAACTGCTGAGTGAGCATAACAACCCGCGTAGTAAATGTTATTTTGAATAACTTGGTTTATTGATATATATTTTAAAACGTATTCTCGGGGGTGGAAATAAAAGTAAGTATATTTTACATGTAAAGAAAGAAAAATTTCTGAAAAGTATTATCAGCTGCCGTCTCGTGAAATATTAAGAAAATTAAATGTGTCTCTTCATTTTACAAAAAGTTACTTCGCATCCTATATTGATTATGAAAACAACTGTTTCTATTACTAAAATAAATTGACAGACACTGCCAAATTCAATCAGTGTGTAATGTTGTAGTATTAACAATAGAACTGATGACTGAACATAACAATCCGCGAAGTAAAATCGTCACACATTCTTCCTAAACTCGCTTCACTACACTGCGCTACTCAATGAAACCGAGTCCTAGACTCGCGTGTGAGGAGCAACGAAGGTAAACAACGTGTTTGAGAGATATGTTCCTCAAGTTGTGAACGCTTTTCCTGAATGTACAATCACCACCTTTCCATGTCGGAAGATGTATATCAACATATTATAAATCATACGTTTTATAACTTTTAAAGGACCAGAAAGTGTTCATGCTAAGAAACGGAGCAACATTTATTTTGTTTCCGATAGATATCATGGAAAACACTGCTTGTTTCAAAATCGCAACTGGTATTAATGTTCTTACGAAACCCCTTTATTTTATACAAAGCGACATGTCCATACTGAAATACAGAAACTGAAATCGATAATCTAATAACATGTTTTGTAACTGTTCTGTGGAAATAATTATTTGACTACCCTTTCAATTGCTTCATCAACTTCCTTGTATCTTACGATATGACATTCTCTTGAACTAACTGCATAGCAGACATCGGCGTTTTCTTCAACTTTCATCAAAATGAAATCAATGTCATGTGTAGATATTTCCTAAAGATGAACGGCAGTTCAGGATATATGAAAACATGAAACATGTAATGCTTAAATTCTTTTCCAGGTGTATATATCAAGGAAACTGGCCCCGGTAATACAGCTAATACTTCACATCAAATCTGGTCGCAAGAGCATTATTAATATATGTCATGAAAACTGGTCAATGTTGTTATCATGAATAACAATTTATTGATATATTTTTAAAACGTATTCTCGGGGATGGAAATAAAAGTAAATATATTTTACATGTAAGGAAATAGAGCTTTCTGAAAAGTATTATCAGCTGCAGTCTCGTGAAATAGAAAGAAAATTAAAGGTGTCTCTTCATTTAAAAAAAAGATACTTCGCGCGTCCTATATTGATTATGAAAACAACTGTTTCTATTCCTGAAATACATTGACACACACTTTCAAAGATACAAACATCATGGGTTTTTATATGTGTTAAAAATGGCCTGCGAATCCGTGCACAAAGTAATTAAAAACGCCCTATAGTACAAAACTATCATAGAGAAAGTGTTCATTGTTGTGATACATATCAAATAGTGTTTTTCATTTAGGACCGACATATATTCTCGAAATTACAACAAAGCAACGCTTCTCGGGGAATGTTTGACACGACAAAGTATTCTCCAAATGGAACACAACAATGTGTATTCACACCTCATGATGGTTTACACAATCACAGAATAATCAACTGGAAGGGATGATGATTTCCAGCATAGTACATACACCCTATCAATTAACGACAATAGTTATGCCACCGAAACATCAACAAGATTCATGTGCTTTATTACTGAGAATATTATCGATATTTTGCTGCGCGAGTAAATCATTCCGCGAAGCAGTGACGTCATTTACAATATACAAACTCTGTACATTGCGGCTATATACCGTCTTCCGACAGACAGTGTAAGGAGCATTGATATAAATAATGTGTTTGAGAGAGTATGTTCATCTGTTTCTGTACGTATGTTTCACGTGTCGATTCAGAATATGAGACATTCAAAGAAAGCGCGTTTCCCAAAGTCCAAGGTGCTTAATAATTCCCCGATTACATGTATCTTCAACTGATTAATCAGTTGATTTTGTTTCTTTCCAAAAAGAAGCATGTATTGAAACGCATAGACATGAACATAGCCTGCTCGTCTAAACACAACCACGGAACAGGTCTCAGCCAACCAAGACAAGTCTCAGCGAGCTCCCATTGATCGCCTCTCAGCCAGTATAAAAGCTGGCGGGCTGCTGAGTAAGATCAGTCTAGTGACACACACTACAGTTGAAAGACTTGAATAGATATAAACTACGTCTGACAGCAGCGTGGAAATATAGCACAAGAACTATATAACTACTCTCACCATTCAAAACAGGTAACTTGAGGAACATATTAACAGTGATGGTGTATATAGTACTGGTCTGATAGCGAGGAAATCGTCTCCAAATAACTTACACATCTATATCTTTTTTATAAGAAAAGCGTAAATTATTAAATCATATGTATTTATAACGTGAAAACATTTTTCTATATCTATAAAAATAAATTATAGCATACTTACGGAAATAACCTTTGCAAATATTTTAAAGAAACCAACATTCTTGTTTCTAAATTGACTTTGTTAAAAATTGAAATATATTTTTTTACTTGAGAATATAAACATTAAAACTAACATTCAAAACATTTTTATAAGTATTTACACTGCCAGAATTAATGGGTATAAAGCTGTATCAATTTCAAAAGTAAAACTTCTTGTATACATGTACACTCAATTGTTCTGAATATTTCAACAGATTCAACATGGCTTTGCTTCCTCCTGGTGGTCTTCCGGAGATAGTCTTCTCCTTTGACACAACCGGCTCCATGAGCAGCTGTCTCGTCGAAGTCAGAGGTCGACTCCAGGACATGATACAGCGGCTCCAGGCTGACATCCCCGCCATCAGAATTGCCGTCTTCGCACACGGGGACTATTGTGACAAACACAACTACGTCACAAAGTGGATCGACTTTTCCACAGACGTTAAGGAACTATGTGACTTTGTAAACAACGTCAGCAGCACTGGAGGCGGAGACTCGGACGAATGTTACGAACTCGTTCTCAGACAAGTTGGGGAGGAGTTGTCATGGACACCCGGATCCAATCGTGCCCTCGTCATGATCGGGGACGCCAGCCCCCATGAACCAGACTACCCCGACAACAAACTCAAGATAGACTGGAGGGAGGAGATTCAAACTCTCAATAAAATGGTGAGCTAATTTTACTTTAGCCAAATTAAATTCTAAACATCACTAAGAAATGCTATTTTCAAGACATTCAAATTCTCAATACAATGTCGAATTGCATTTTGAGTTTGATTGTCAGCTGGGGATAATACAAATCGAGTTCATTCAGAATTGCATCATACTAACAAAAGTCAAATGTACAGTAAATACATTGAAACATCCCATTCGTTTCCAGGGAGTGAAGATATATGGGGTAGAGCGCGGATGTGGCAGCATGGAATTCTACAAGAGAATGTCACAGGAGACAGGGGGACGCCATCTTCAACTCGACAGCTTTTCCAATGTCTTCGACTTCCTCATGGCCATCTGCTACAGGGAGCACGGGGCAGATATGTTTGATGTAAGTTTGCTCTTCGATTATATTCTTCATAAACATATACTTTTCTCATAATAAAGTTATATTTAGTTTACTTTCCTTACCGAATATGTTTTCCGTGTATTCCTGTTTTGACATTTGTATATGTCATTTCAGGTGTACGAGAAAGAAGTTCGAACTCGTTGTGGTGAAGGTGCCCTCAGCGAAGACATGGAAGGAATGTTTACCTCACTTCGTGATGGAGTAGCCTCACTTTCATCGCCAAAGAAGACCATAGCAGGTTGCAGTAAGAAAGATGTAAAGATCCCCACCTTAAAGAAAACTACATCAATCACAGCTGTTCGAAAGGCCAAACCTAAATCCATCAAGAGACCAGGAACTAAATCACTGAAGGTATATTTCAGACATGTTTCTTTCCAAGCAATAATGACATATACAGTTGTTCATTTCTTTCTCATACTGCTGATAACGATCGCATTTATCGATTAAAGCTATACCCTTTTGGAACCTTAAAGGTATGACCATATCTAAATAGACTCATTATATATAATGTATTATTCCAGAAACCTACAAAGTTTGTGACACCTCTTCTGAGAAGAGAGGAAGTCTTTGAGAACAACTTCAGCTTGAGAAACATGGACTGGTCACCGTGGGTCAAAGTTATCTCCCCTGACGTTCCACTCAAACAGGATGCACAATGGGAGAAAAGACGGGGTGCCAACCCTGGATTCAGAAAGAGGACAATCTTCAAGTCTGAGAACAATAAGCCAGCTCTCTATGAGATCGGTGTTCAGTCCATCCGGTACGGACGAAGGTGTGTGGTATTCAGCAAGTTCTGTCACTATATTCCCGATAATGTTAATTGGGAAACACGGCTTCTTGGAAACAAAATTGTCAGAGCTCAGGTGAACAACGTTGTGTCTCAGGACTGCAGTGTCTATGTGCGGAGGGTGGTGTACAGAAGAGCATCATACCATGCCAAAACAGCCTCCATGATAAAGTCCTATGACTACGCATGGAGACGTCTGAGGAGATCACGATCTACTGCTCGACATGTGTTCAAACAAGGTAGCACAATTTCATCAGACAAAGTATAGAATGTTTCTGAACATTGACACACATTCTGTGATATATGCTAACAGATACGGAGATATGGACGTTTTTTTCTTAACATGCCATATATCAAAGGACATTCTGGAAAACACTGGCACATAAGAGGCCAAATTCATAAGTATATAACTTTGGAAAACATTGAGATCGAATCTCATATCATACAACTTGCCAGATATTTTATGTGAATGAAAGGGCATGATGTGTCATTAAAGTGCGTGACTGAGAATGTGTGTGTGTTCTACCGAATGATGGACAGATGAACGTTGTTTTCCTGTTATGTGAAACGCTGTATATATTTGATTGTTCATATTACGATGTATATAAATTCATATCATTCATTGACCTACAATCTATACTTCATTTTAACATGTGCAATATCAGAAAAGGAATAAATAAAATAAGACTTGCATATACTTTATTTTCTTTGAAAATGTCTACTTACAAGAGTGCGTCCTCCTACCCCCGAGGGGTTTCACACTGAAGACCTCAACTTTCCCTTTTCTCGATTCAGTTACATTTAATGCGCCCTGGCATGGACATATAGCAACATTCACTCATATCACATAGCTATGAACACTCACGTGCATTTATTCATATTCACACGTCATATGAGTTTACACTCCTATATTGTAACTCGCATATAATGAAACACTTATGTTAACATTCACGAACTGAAATGCATTGAGCTGTCCTCCCACCTTGAGATGATACGCAGTTTTGTAACATTACAAATGTAAATACCCGAATACATGCATTAGGTGAAAAAATGACGTTATGCCATAATTCATAGGACCAAATTGCATCTTATGTAACAGCTTTAGTTATTATGTATTTTGTTTCATGATATTAATCTGTAATGATTGTCATTGAGGAAGTTCCAGCGTAAAGCGTTATATGTCACTCGACAGAAATATCGATTTGTGTATGGGAATAAACAGTTTTTCAACACTTACTACATAATAATAACTGATATTTCATATGGAAGCATGTAGCTATAGTACTGCTAATAACATTTATTTCATGAAAACTAGACCACGTTTCGCAGTTATTTTGAGTCACTAGGTTTAGGGTCTTTTTCAAAACGTAGGGTCGGTGGTTGAAATAAAATTAAAATATTTAATCAATATTTAAGTGTTTTCAGGAAGTTATTGAAAAAAGCAAAGAAATGGTGATTGTTAGTTCTTCCTATATTCATCATCTTTAAGGGTTTTTTATTACTAAAATAAGTTACGCAGAAGAAAATGTTTGGTCGTCGAATAAGTAAACAAATAAAAGCCTTATAGCATTACTATATCTCTTTTGTGGTATTGCTAATTTATGTCGAAGAAACTCGTCAAAACAGGATATGTTTTTGATGAGCCGCCATATATTCTCGAAAATGTAACACAGGGATGTTACAATGCCATGCATATGTGTACACAGCAACGCATATATGCATACATAGTTTGTTTGCTCAGACATGTATTTCCTTCCAATTAGCATTCAGTTAATACTTTATACCTCCTAAGATGACAGGCATTATGTATTCCTTCATTGTAACTCGCATATAATGAAACACTTATGTTAACATCCACGAACTGAAATGCATTGGGCCGTCTCCCCACCTTAAGATGATGCGCAGTTTTATAATCTTGGAAATGTAAATACCCGAATACATGCATTAGGTGAAGACATAACGTTATGAATTAAATAATAGGACCAAATTGCATCTTATGTATGTTCGTAATTCACATACTTTAAACATACATAGTTAAAAGAATATAGAATATATTCAGGTTTCATCTCAATTTGTACAATGTATTTACCGCCCATTTTGCAGGCATAATTCAGTCAAAAGTTGCTGTGATTGGCTTTTCTTGTTTTCTGCATCTAATATATTGAGTTTGAAAATTATATCGGTGTGTAATATTGTTGCATTGACAGTAGAACTGCTGACTGAGTATAACAATCCGCGAAGTAAATGTTATTTTGAATAACTTAGTTTATTGATATATTTTAAAACGTTTTATCGGGGGTGGAAATAAAAGTAAGTATATTTTACATGTAAAGAAGAAGAGTTTTCTGAAAAGTATTATCAGCTGCCGTCTCGTGAATAAAAAGAAAATTACCGTGTCTCTTCATTTTACAAAAAGTTACTTCGCATCCTATATTGATTTTGAAAAACAACTTTTTCTATTACTGAAATAAATTGACGGACACTGCCAAATTAAATCAGTGTGTAATGTTGTAGTATTAACAATAGAACTGATGACTGAGCATAACAATCCGCGAAGTAAAATCGTCACACATTCTTCCTAAACACGCTTCACTACACTGCGCTACTCAATGAAACCGAGTCCTAGACTCGCGTGTGAGGAGAAGCGAAGGTAAACAACGTGTTTGAGAGATATGTTCCTCAAGTTGTGAACGCTTTTCCTGAATTAACAATCACCACCTTTCCATGTCGGAAGATGTATATCAACATATTATAAATCATACGCTTTTAAAGGACCAGAAAGTGTTAATGCTTAGATTAATGTTATGAAACGGAGCAACATTCATTTTGTTTCCGACATATAGCATGGAAAACACCGCTTGTTTCAAAATCGCATCCGGTATTAATGTTCTTACGAAACCCCTTCATTGTTTACAAAGCGATGAGCCCATACTGAAATACAGAAACTGAAATCGATAATCTAATAACATGTTTTGTAACTGTTCTGTGGAAATAATTATTTTAACTACCCTTTCATTTGCTTCATCAACTTCTTGGCATCTTACGATATGGCATTCTTTTGAACTAACTGCATAGCAGACATCGGCGTTTTCCTCAACTTTCATCAAAATGAAATCAATGTCATGTGTAAATATCTCCCAACGATGAACGGCAGTTCAGGATATATGAAAACATGAAACATGTAATGCTTAAATTCTTATCCAGGTGTATATATCAAGGAAACTGGCCACGGTAGTACGGCTGATACTTCACATCAAATCTGGTCGCAAGGGCATTATTAATATATGTCATGAAAACTGGTCAATGTTGTTATCTTGAGTAACATTTTATTGATATATTTTTAAAACGTATTCTCGGGAGTGGAAATAAAAGTAAAAACTATTAGTATTATCAGCTGCAGTCTCGTGAAATAGAAAGAAAATTAAATGTGTCTCTTCATTTTAAAAAAAGATACTTCGCATCCTATATTGATAATGAAAAGAACTGTTTCTATTCCTGAAATACATTGACAAACACTGTCAAAGATACAAACATCATGGGTTTTTTTTACATGTGTTAAAAATGGCCTGCGAATCTGTGCACAAAGTAATTCATAACGCCCAATAGTACAAAACTATCATAGAGAAAGTGTTCATTGTTGTGATGCATATCAAATAGTGTTTTTCATTTAGGACCGACATATATTCTCGAAATTACAACAAAGCAACGCTTCTCAGGGAAAGTTTGACAAGACAAAGTATTCTCCAAATTGAACACAATAATGTATATTGACACCTCATGATGGTTTACACAATCAAAGGATAATCAACTGGAAGGGATGATGTTTTCCAGTACAGTACATACACACTATCAATTAAAGACAATATATTCCACAGAAACATCTACAAGATTCCTATGTGTTATTGCTGAGAAAATTATCGATATTTTGCTGTGCGAATAAATATTCCGCGAAGCAGTTACGTCATGTACAATATACAAACTCTGTACATTCCGGCTATGTACCGTTTTCGACCAAAATATCTTCCGACAGACAGTGTAAGGAGCATTGATATAAATAATGTGTTTGAGAGAGTATGTTCATCTGTTTCTGTACGTATGTTTCACGTGTCGATTCAGAATATGAGACATTAAAAAACAGCACGTTTCCCAAAGTCCAAGGTTCTTAATAATTCCCCGATTACATGTATCTTCAAATGATTAATCAGTTGATTTTGTTTCTTTCCAAACAGAAGCATGTATTGAAACGCATAGACATGAACATCGCCTGCTCGTCTAAACACAACCACGGAACAGGTCCAAACATGCCAACCAAGACAAGTCTCAGCGAGCTCCCATTGATCGCCTCTCAGCCAGTATAAAAGCGAGCGTGCTGCTGAGTAAGATCAGTCTACTGACATACACTACAGTTGAAAGACTTGAATAGATATAAACTACGTCTGACAGCAGCGTGGAAATATAGCAAAAGATCTATATAACTACTGTCACCGTTCAAAAAGGTAACTTGAGGAACATATTAACAGTGATGATGTATATAGTACTGGGTCTGAAAACAGCGAGGAAATCGTCGCCAAATAAAATACACATCTATATCTATTTTATAAGAAAAGCGTAAATTATTAAATCATATGTGTTTATAACGTAAACACATTTTTTATAAAAAAATAAATAAATTATAGCATACTAACGGAAATAACCTTTGCAAATATTTTAAAGAAACCAACATTCTTGTTTCTGAATGGACTTTGTTTAAAATTGAAATATATTTTTATTACTTGAGAATATAAACATTAAGATCGAAATGAACAAAAAGTTGGATTTGCAAAAGATTTTTATGAGTATTTACACTGCCAGAGTTAATGGTTATAAAGCTGTATCAATTTCAAAAGTAAAACTTCTTGTATACATGTACACTCAGTTGTTTTGAATATTTCAACAGATTCAACATGGCTTTGCTTCCTCCTGGTGGTCTTCCGGAGATAGTCTTCTCCTTTGACACAACTGGCTCCATGAGCAGCTGTCTCGTCGAAGTCAGAGGTCGACTCCAGGACATGATACAGCGGCTCCAGGCTGACATCCCCGCCATCAGAATTGCCGTCTTCGCACACGGGGACTATTGTGACAAACACAAATACGTCACAAAGTGGATCGACTTTTCCACAGACGTTAAGGAACTATGTGACTTTGTAAACAACGTCAGCAGCACTGGAGGCGGAGACTCGGACGAATGTTACGAACTCGTTCTCAGACAAGTTGGGGAGGAGTTGTCATGGACACCCGGATCCAATCGTGCCCTCGTCATGATCGGGGACGCCAACCCCCATGAACCAGACTACCCCGACAACAAACTCAAGATAGACTGGAGGGAGGAGATTCAAACTCTCAATAACATGGTGAGCTAATTTTACTTTAGCCAGATTAAATTCTTAACATCACTAAGAAATTCTCTTTTTCAAGACATTCAAATTCTCAATACAATATCGAATTGCATTTTGAGTTTGATTGTCAGCTGGGGGATGATACAAATCGAGTTCACTCAGGATTGCATCATGCTAACATAAATCAAATGTACAGTAAATACATTGAAACGTCCCATTCGTTTCCAGGGAGTGAAGATATATGGGGTAGAGCGTGGATGTGGCAGCATGGAATTCTACAAGAGAATGTCCCAGGAGACAGGGGGACGCCATCTTCAACTCGACAGCTTTTCCAATGTCTTCGACTTCCTCATGGCCATCTGCTACAGGGAGCACGGGGCAGATATGTTTGATGTAAGTTTCCTCTTCGATTATATTGTTCATAAACATAAACTTTTCTCATAATAAAGTTATATTTAGTTTACTTTCCTTACCGAATATGTTTTCCGTGTATTCCTGTTTTGACATTTGTATATGTCATTTCAGGTGTACGAGAAAGAAGTTCGAACTCGTTGTGGTGAAGGTGCCCTCAGCAAAGACATGGAAGGAATGTTTACCTCACTACGTGATGGAGTAGCCTCACTTTCATCGCCAAAGAAGACCACAGCAGGTTGCAGTAAGAAAGATGTGAAGATCCCCACCTTAAAGAAAACCACATCAATCACAGCAGTTCGAAAGGCCAAGCCTAAATCCATCAGGAGACCAGGAACTAAATCACTGAAGGTATATTTCAGACATGTTTCTTTCCAAAAAATAATGACATATACAGTTGTTCATTTCTTTCTCATACTGCTGATAACGATCGCATTTATCGATTAAAGCTATACCCTTTTGGAACTTTAAAGGTATGACCATATCTAAATAGATTCATTATATATAATGTATTATTCCAGAAACCTACAAAGTTTGTGACACCTCTTCTGAGAAGAGAGGAAGTCTTTGAGAACAACTTCAGCTTGAGAAACATGGACTGGTCACCGTGGGTCAAAGTTATCTCCCCTGATGTCCCACTCAAACAGGATGCACGATGGGAGAAAAGACGGGGTGCCAACCCTGGATTCAGAAAGAAGACAATCTTCAAGTCTGAGAACAATAAGCCAGCTCTCTATGAGATCGGTGTTCAGTCCATCCGGTACGGACGAAGGTGTGTAGTATTCAGTAAGTTCTGTCACTATATTCCCGATAATGTTAATTGGGAAACACGGCTCCTTGGAAACAAACTTGTCAGAGCTCAGGTGAACAACGTTGTGTCTCAGGACTGCAGTGTCTATGTGCGGAGGGTGGTGTACAGAAGAGCATCATACCATGCCAAAACAGCCTCCATGATAAAGTCCTATGACTACGCATGGAGACGTCTGAGGAGATCACGATCTACTGCTCGACATGTCTTCAAACAAGGGAGCACAATTTCATCAGACAAAGTATAGAATGTTTCTGAACATTGACACACATTCTGTGATATATGCTAACAGATACAGAGATATGGACGTTTTTTCTTAACATGCCATATATCACAGGACATTCTGGAAAACACTGGCACATAAGAGGCCAAATTCATAAGTATATAACTTTGGAAAACATCGAGATCGAATCTCATATCATACAACTTGCCAGATATTTTATGTGAATGAGAGGGCATGATGTGTCATTAAAGTGCGTGACTGAGAATGTGTGTGTTCTACCGAATGATGGACAGATGAACGTTGTTTTCCTGTTATGTGAAACGCTGTATATATTTGATTGTTCATATTACGATGTATATAAATTCATATCATTCATTGACCTACAATCTATACTTCATTTTAACATGTGCAATATCAGAAAAGGAATAAATAAAATAAGACTTGCATATACTTTATTTTCTTTGAAAATGTCTACTTACAAGAGTGCGTCCTCCTACCCCCGAGGGGTTTCACACTGAAGACCTCAACTTTCCCTTTTCTCGATTCAGTTACATTTAATGCGCCCTGGCATGGACATATAGCAACATTCACTCATATCACATAGCTATGAACACTCACGTGCATTTATTCATATTCACACGTCATATGAGTTTACACTCCTATATTGTAACTCGCATATAATGAAACACTTATGTTAACATTCACGAACTGAAATGCATTGAGCTGTCCTCCCACCTTGAGATGATACGCAGTTTTGTAACATTACAAATGTAAATACCCGAATACATGCATTAGGTGAAAAAATGACGTTATGCCATAATTCATAGGACCAAATTGCATCTTATGTAACAGCTTTAGTTATTATGTATTTTGTTTCATGATATTAATCTGTAATGATTGTCATTGAGGAAGTTCCAGCGTAAAGCGTTATATGTCACTCGACAGAAATATCGATTTGTATATGGGAATAAACAGTTTTTCAACACTTACTACATAATAATAACTGATATTTCATATGGAAGCATGTAGCTATAGTACTGCTAATAACATTTATTTCATGAAAACTAGACCACGTTTCGCAGTTATTTTGAGTCACTAGGTTTAGGGTCTTTTTCAAAACGTAGGGTCGGTGGTTGAAATAAAATTAAAATATTTAATCAATATTTAAGTGTTTTCAGGAAGTTATTGAAAAAAGCAAAGAAATGGTGATTGTTAGTTCTTCCTATATTCATCATCTTTAAGGGTTTTTTATTACTAAAATAAGTTACGCAGAAGAAAATGTTTGGTCGTCGAATAAGTAAACAAATAAAAGCCTTATAGCATTACTATATCTCTTTTGTGGTATTGCTAATTTATGTCGAAGAAACTCGTCAGAACAGGATATGTTTTTGGTGAGCCGCCATATATTCTCGAAAATGTAACACAGAGATGTTACAATGCCATGCATATGTGTACACAGCAACGCATATATGCATACATAGTTTGTTTGCTCAGACATGTATTTCCTTCCAATTAGCATTCAGTTAATACTTTATACCTCCTAAGATGACAGGTATTATGTATTCCTTCATTGTAACTCGCATATAATGAAACACTTATGTTAACATCCACGAACTGAAATGCATTGGGCCGTCTCCCCACCTTAAGATGATGCGCAGTTTTATAATCTTGGAAATGTAAATACCCGAATACATGCATTAGGTGAAGACATAACGTTATGAATTAAATAATAGGACCAAATTGCATCTTATGTATGTTCGTAATTCACATACTTTAAACATACATAGTTAAAAGAATATAGAATATATTCAGGTTTCATCTCAATTTGTACAATGTATTTACCGCCCATTTTGCAGGCATAATTCAGTCAAAAGTTGCTGTGATTGGCTTTTCTTGTTTTCTGCATCTAATATATTGAGTTTGAAAATTATATCGGTGTGTAATATTGTTGCATTGACAGTAGAACTGCTGACTGAGTATAACAATCCGCGAAGTAAATGTTATTTTGAATAACTTGGTTTATTGATATATTTTAAAACGTTTTATCGGGGGTGGAAATAAAAGTAAGTATATTTTACATGTAAAGAAGAAGAGTTTTCTGAAAAGTATTATCAGCTGCCGTCTCGTGAATAAAAAGAAAATTACCGTGTCTCTTCATTTTACAAAAAGTTACTTCGCATCCTATATTGATTTTGAAAAACAACTTTTTCTATTACTGAAATAAATTGACGGACACTGCCAAATTAAATCAGTGTGTAATGTTGTAGTATTAACAATAGAACTGATGACTGAGCATAACAATCCGCGATGTAAAATCGTCACACATTCTTCCTAAACTCGCTTCACTACACTGCGCTACTCAATGAAACCGAGTCCTAGACTCGCGTGTGAGGAGAAACGAAGGTAAACAACGTGTTTGAGAGATATGTTCCTCAAGTTGTGAACGCTTTTCCTGAATTAACAATCACCACCTTTCCATGTCGGAAGATGTATATCAACATATTATAAATCATACGCTTTTAAAGGACCAGAAAGTGTTAATGCTTAGATTAATGTTATGAAACGGAGCAACATTCATTTTGTTTCCGACATATAGCATGGAAAACACTGCTTGTTTCAAAATCGCATCCGGTATTAATGTTCTTACGAAACCCCTTCATTGTTTACAAAGCGATGAGCCCATACTGAAATACAGAAACTGAAATCGATAATCTAATAACATGTTTTGTAACTGTTCTGTGGAAATAATTATTTTAACTACCCTTTCATTTGCTTCATCAACTTCTTGGCATCTTACGATATGGCATTCTTTTGAACTAACTGCATAGCAGACATCGGCGTTTTCCTCAACTTTCATCAAAATGAAATCAATGTCATGTGTAAATATCTCCCAACGATGAACGGCAGTTCAGGATATATGAAAACATGAAACATGTAATGCTTAAATTCTTATCCAGGTGTATATATCAAGGAAACTGGCCACGGTAGTACGGCTGATACTTCACATCAAATCTGGTCGCAAGGGCATTATTAATATATGTCATGAAAACTGGTCAATGTTGTTATCTTGAGTAACATTTTATTGATATATTTTTAAAACGTATTCTCGGGAGTGGAAATAAAAGTAAAAACTATTAGTATTATCAGCTGCAGTCTCGTGAAATAGAAAGAAAATTAAATGTGTCTCTTCATTTTAAAAAAAGATACTTCGCATCCTATATTGATAATGAAAAGAACTGTTTCTATTCCTGAAATACATTGACAAACACTGTCAAAGATACAAACATCATGGGTTTTTTTTACATGTGTTAAAAATGGCCTGCGAATCTGTGCACAAAGTAATTCATAACGCCCAATAGTACAAAACTATCATAGAGAAAGTGTTCATTGTTGTGATGCATATCAAATAGTGTTTTTCATTTAGGACCGACATATATTCTCGAAATTACAACAAAGCAACGCTTCTCAGGGAAAGTTTGACAAGACAAAGTATTCTCCAAATTGAACACAATAATGTATAGTGACACCTCATGATGGTTTACACAATCAAAGGATAATCAACAGGAAGGGATGATGTTTTCCAGTGTAGTACATACACACCATCAATTAAAGACAATATATTCCACAGAAACATCTACAAGATTCCTATGTGTTATTGCTGAGAAAATTATCGATATTTTGCTGTGCGAATAAATATTCCGCGAAGCAGTTACGTCATGTACAATATACAAACTCTGTACATTGCGGCTATGTACCGTTTTCGACCAAAATATCTTCCGACAGACAGTGTAAGGAGCATTGATATAAATAATGTGTTTGAGAGAGTATGTTCATCTGTTTCTGTACGTATGTTTCACGTGTCGATTCAGAATATGAGACATTAAAAAACAGCACGTTTCCCAAAGTCCAAGGTTCTTAATAATTCCCCGATTACACGTATCTTCAAATGATTAATCAGTTGATTTTGTTTCTTTCCAAACAGAAGCATGTATTGAAACGCATAGACATGAACATCGCCTGCTCGTCTAAACACAACCATGGAACAGGTCCAAACATGCCAACCAAGACAAGTCTCAGCGAGCTCCCATTGATCGCCTCTCAGCCAGTATAAAAGCGAGCTGGCTGCTGAGTAAGAACAGTCTAGTGACATACACTACAGTTGAAAGACTTGAATAGATATAAACTACGTCTGACAGCAGCGTGGAAATATAGCAAAAGATCTATATAACTACTGTCACCGTTCAAAAAGGTAACTTGAGGAACATATTAACAGTGATGATGTATATAGTACTGGGTCTGAAAACAGCGAGGAAATCGTCGCCAAATAAAATACACATCTATATCTATTTTATAAGAAAAGCGTAAATTATTAAATCATATGTATTTATAACGTGAAAACATTTTTCTATATCTATCAAAATGAATTGCAGCATACTTACGGAAATAACCTTTGCAAATATTTTAAAGAAACCAACATTCTTGTTTCTGAATTGACTTTGTTTAAAATTGAAATATATTTTTATTACTTGAGAATATAAACATTAAGTTTAAAATGAACAAAAAGTTGAATTTTTTAAAACATTTTTATACGTATTTACACTGCCAGAGTTAATGGTTATAAAGCTGTATCAATTTCAAAAGTAAAACTTCTTGTATACATGTACACTCAGTTGTTTTGAATATTTCAACAGATTCAACATGGCTTTGCTTCCTCCTGGTGGTCTTCCGGAGATAGTCTTCTCCTTTGACACAACCGGCTCCATGAGCAGCTGTCTCGTCGAAGTCAGAGGTCGACTCCAGGACATGATACAGCGGCTCCAGGCTGACATACCCGCCATCAGAATTGCCGTCTTCGCACACGGGGACTATTGTGACAAACACAACTACATCACAAAGTGGATCGACTTTTCCACAGACGTTAAGGAACTATGTGACTTTGTAAACAACGTCAGCAGCACTGGAGGCGGAGACTCGGACGAATGTTACGAACTCGTTCTCAGACAAGTTGGGGAGGAGTTGTCATGGACACCCGGATCCAATCGTGCCCTCGTCATGATCGGGGACGCCAACCCCCATGAACCAGACTACCCCGACAACAAACTCAAGATAGACTGGAGGGAGGAGATTCAAACTCTCAATAAAATGGTGAGCTAATTTTACTTTAGCCAGATTAATTCTTAACATCACTAAGAATGCTCTTTTTCAAGACATTCAAATTATCAATACAATGTCGAATTGCATTTTGAGTTTGATTGTCAGCTGGGGGATGATACAAATCGAGTTCACTCATGATTGCATCATGCTAACATAAGTCAAATGTACAGTAAATACATTGAAACATCCCATTCGTTTCCAGGGAGTGAAGATATATGGGGTAGAGCGTGGATGTGGCAGCATGGAATTCTACAAGAGAATGTCACAGGAGACAGGGGGACGCCATCTTCAACTCGACAGCTTTTCCAATGTCTTCGACTTCCTCATGGCCATCTGCTACAGGGAGCACGGGGCAGATATGTTTGATGTAAGTTTGCTCTTCGATTATATTCTTCATAAACATATACTTTTCTCATAATAAAGTTATATTTAGTTTACTTTCCTTACCGAATATGTTTTCCGTGTATTCCTGTTTTGACATTTGTATATGTCATTTCAGGTGTACGAGAAAGAAGTTCGAACTCGTTGTGGTGAAGGTGCCCTCAGCAAAGACATGGAAGGAATGTTTACCTCACTTCGTGATGGAGTAGCCCCCCTTTCATCGCCAAAGAAGACCACAACCGGTTGCAGTAAGAAAGATGTAAAGATCCCCACCTTAAAGAAAACTACATCGATCACAGCAGTTCGAAAGGCCAAGCCTAAATCCATCAGGAGACCAGGAACTAAATCACTGAAGGTATATTTCAGATACGTTTCTTTCCAAGTAATAATGACATACACAGTTGTTCATTTCTTTCTCATACTGCTGATAACCATCGCATTTATCGATTAAAGCTATACCCTTTTGGAACCTTAAAGGTATGACCATATCTAAATAGACTCATTATATATAATGTATTATTCCAGAAACCTACAAAGTTTGTGACACCTCTTCTGAGAAGAGAGGAAGTCTTTGAGAACAACTTCAGCTTGAGAAACATGGACTGGTCACCGTGGGTCAAAGTTATCTCCCCTGACGTTCCACTCAAACAGGATGCACAATGGGAGAAAAGACGGGGTGCCAACCCTGGATTCAGAAAGAAGACAATCTTCAAGTCTGAGAACAATAAGCCAGCTCTCTATGAGATCGGTGTTCAGACCATCCGGTACGGACGAAGGTGTGTGGTATTCAGTAAATTCTGCCACAACATTCCTGATAATGTCAACTGGGAAACACGGCTCCTTGGAAACAAAATTGTCAGAGCTCAGGTGAACAACGTTGTGTCTCAGGACTGCAGTGTCTATGTGCGGAGGGTGGTGTATAGAAGAGCATTATACCATGCCAAAACAGCCTCCATGATAAAGTCCTATGACTACGCATGGAGACGTCTGAGGAGATCACGATCTACTGCTCGACATGTGTTCAAACAAGGCAGCACAATTTCATCAGACAAAGTATAGAATGTTTCTGAACATTGACACACATTCTGCGATATATGCTAACAGATACGGAGATATGGACGTTTTTTCTTAACATGCCATATATCAAAGGACATTCTGGAAAACACTGGCACATGAGAGGCAAAATTAATAAGTATATAACTTTGGAAAACATCGAGATCGAATCTCATATCATACAACTTGCCAGATATTTTATGTGAATGAAAGGGCATGATGTGTCATTAAAGTGCGTCACTGAGAATGTGTGTTTTCTACCGAATGAAACAGACTGATGAACGTTATTTTCCTGTTATGTGAAACACTGTATATATTGTTCATATTACGATGCATATAAAACTCATTCATTGGCCTGCAATTTATACCTCATTTTAACATGTGCAATATCAGAATAAGAATGAATAAAACAAACTAATAAGACTAACATATATCTTATTTTCTTTGAAAATGTGTACTTACAAGAGTGCGTCCTCCTACCATCTAAACGTGGCGTTTGTTTCACGCTGAAGACCTCAACTTTCCCTTGTCTCGATTCAGTTACATTGAATGAGCCCTGACATGGACATATAGCAACATTCACTCATATCACAACCCCCCATATCAGGCCCCGACTTCCATATCTCTTTGAGTAAAGACATCGTAAGGAACAAAACGAACTTCCATTCTTGTTACGATTTCCAGCCTGATATTTCACTGACAACATTATTGGGACTTGGAAGCGCCTGTCAATACCTTACTCCATTTCTAGCTCAAAGGTGCAGTGATGTGCGGCTACAGGATATAGATCCATGAAATTATTGATCAAGTACTATTCAGCAGTTTTCTTATGGATATTGAAATAGGTTGTTTCTTTCGCTATTATTTAAAGTCCTTGTCAGGATCGTCTGGTCAGTGCCGTTACCATGCTCGTGTGTTTCACCAAATACTAAACGTCAACGACCTTCCACATTAAGCTGACGTGCTGGAATGTAGAGTCACCAGAAACAAACAGAAAATCATATATATGACGTGTGAATATGAATAAATTCACGTGAATTTATTCATATTCACACGTCATTTGAGTTTAAACTCTTATATTGTAACTCGCATATCTGAAATGTATTGGGCTGTCCTCCCACCTTGAGATGATGCACAGTTTTACAACCTTACAAATGTAAATACATGAATACACGCATTAGGTGTAAAATAACGTGATGACATGATAAATACAGTAAAGTACGGTTATAACGAACTCAAAGGGACTACTAATTTTAGTTCGTTTTAACCGTAGTTCGTTATAAGCATATATACAGCATAACTACAGCAAATAGTCGGGACCAAAAAAGAAGTTCGTTTTATCCGTCAGTTCGTTATAAGCGTGTTCGTTATAACCGTAGGACCAAAATACATCCTATGTATGTTCGTAATTCACATACTTTTAACTTACATAGTCAAAAGAATATAGAATGTATTCACGTTTCATCTCAATTGTGTACAATGTATTTGAAAAACTTATGTTAACATCCACGAACTGAAATGCATTGGGCTGTCCTCCCACCTTGAGATGATGCGCAGTTATATAACCTTACAAATGTAAATACCCGAATACATGCATCAGGTGAAAAAATAACGCGATGACATAATTAATAGGACCAAATTGCATCTTATGTATGTTCGTAATTCACATTCTTTAAAATATATTCATGTTACATCTCAATTTGTACAGTGTATTTACCGCACATTTTGCACGCATAATTCAGTCAAAATTTGCTGTGATTTGCTATTTCTGTTTTCTGCATCTAATGTATTGAGTTTGAAAATTAAATCGGTGTGTAATGTTGTCGCATTGACAGCAGAACTGCTGACTGAGCATAACAATCCGCGAAGTAAATACGTCACACATTCTTTCTAAACTCGCTTCACTACACTGCGCTGCTCAATGAAACCGAGTCCTAGACTCGCGTGTGAGGAGAAACGAAGGTAAACAACGTGTTTGAGAGACATTTTCCACAAGTGGTGAACGCTTTTCCTGAATTAACAATCACCTTTCCATGTCGGAAGATGTATAATCAACATAATTATTATTAATCATACGTTTTATAACTTTTAAAAGACCAGAAAATTTTCATGCTTAGATTAATGTTATGAAACGGGGCAATAATTGTTTCTGACATATATCATGGAAAACACTGCTTACTATATTTCCATAGAGAAGAGCCATGTTTCAAAATCGCATCCGGTATTAATGTTCGTACGCAACCCCTTTATTTTCTACAAAGCGACAGACCCATACTGAAATACAGAAACTGAAATCGATAATCTAATAACATGTTTTGTAACGGTTGTGTGGAAATAACTATTTGACTACCCTTTCAATTGCTTCATCAGCTTCTTTGCATATTATGATATGGCGTATTCGTGAGCTAACTGCATAGCAGGCATCGGTGTTTTCTTCAACATTCAAAAAAATAAGATCAATGTCATGTGTAGATATTTCCAAAAGATAAACGTAAGTTAAGGATATATGGAAATATAAAACAGGTAATGCTTAAATTATTTTCCAAATGTATATATCAAGGAAACTGGCCACGGTAGTACAGCTGATACTTCATATCAAATCCGGTCACAAAAGTATTCTTTATATATGTCATGAAAACTGATCAATGTTGTTATTTTAAATAACTTGGTTTATTGATATATTTTAAAACGTATTCTCGTTGCTGAAAATAAAAGTAAATATATATTAGATGTAAGGAAAAATTGTTGTATATAAGAGCTTTCTGAAAAGTATTATCAGTCTCGTGAAATAGAAAAAATACGCAATGTGGCTCTTGATTTTACAAAAATTTACATCGCTTCCTATATTGATTTCTAAAACAGCTTTTTTCTATTCCTGAAATAGAAGTTGAAGTATAACAAGTTTATTCTTCCATAAGGAACATGTTTGATACAGAATAATCTCGGGTATCGGTATTTAGCTATATATCATAAACATCCGGACAAAAGAAAGTATACACTTGATACAAGTTGATTTTACCCCAAAACTACAAAAGTTATGAAAACAGTCGGAATCATGCAACCTCGAACATTTCAACACAGGGTATTCAGAATGATAGTTACGGGTTTAACGACCGAATCCATACAATCTCGACCATCTATTACCCATTCCAGAATATTCTTTTGTTCAGGTTTCAAATTTGTGATGGAGAATTTGTCAAAATATGTTTCGAAGCATAGTCGCCAATTTGAAATTAGTGCCGTTAAGCTGGAGAAAGCTGCCTTCTGGTTGGTCATTCCATTGGTCGATCAAAGTTCGCGCAAGGTCGGTCTGACGTGACCCGTAATGGGATGTCCTCAGATCTTTGTTTAGCGGTAGCGAGAACTAAGATCTGATTTTAATGAGATTGATGTCAGTGTACAGAGGAAACTGCAAGCCATGAAATACAGTGCTTACTGAGTTGGTTGCACTATATGGTACCGTAACCGACGTGAATCCACGGCATTGGGCGTGATATTGCGTCGCGGCCGCCATGGGACGATATTGCGGAGGAAGAGCAGCAGTGTCCGTTTTGTGTGAATGTTGGTATGTTGCTAAACGCCCTACACTGAACAACAGGTATTCATATGTTTTTGAAACTGTTCAAGAAGTTTTCATTTCTGTGTCCAGAAACAGCCATAATTCCAAGGACACAACTTCGTTGTTGCTGTGGCACGGACACAGTGGTTTCAATATGTTTGGGGTAAGCCGGCACCATGTCAGATATGGTAAACCATCATCTTGCCATATTTCTTCCCAGGGAATAATATTTGGTTATTCGACAAGGTAAATAAAATTCTCCGATCTATTATTAATGTGTTTGCGCCATCTTGATTGACAGTTATGACAGAACGATGTTGCCATGAATACGTTAGATACGGGAAGGTAATTTGAACAGCGTCATAAGGTAAGACAAGTATGGCGTAACTCACAAAGGGTATTTAATCGCTGGATTAAGTACAATCGGCGCCTTTGACTGTTACCGAAGCATCTTAGAAGTTGTATTAATAATGTATCAGCGAGAAGCCGATCAACGTTATTTTACACAAGTTTATCATGGAAACTGACCAATGTATTAATAGAAGATATTTGTCTGTTTTGGTCAAATAACGTGCTTATCTCACCTTGGTGATTTTGCCAAGTCATCAGATGAGATAAACACGTTTATTTAACACGAAAAAAACTGTTTCAGTTGTTATGTATTTTATTTCATGATTTTCATCTGTAATGATTGTCTTTGAGGAAGTAGTTCCAGAATAAAGCGTTATATGTCACTCGACTCAAATATCGATTTGTATATGGGAGTAAACAGTTTTTCAACACTTACTTAATAATATTAACTGATATTTCACAAGGAAGCATGTAGCTATAGTACTGCTAATAACATTTATTTCATGAAAACTAGACCACGTTTCACCCTTATTTTGAGTCACTAGGTGTAGGGATTTTTTTTGAAAACGTAGGGTCAGTGGTTGAAATAATATTAAAATATTAAATCATACTTTAAGTGTTTTCAGGAAGATATTGTCCCCATGATGAAATAAAGAAAAAGGCAAAGAAAAGGTGATTGTTAGTTCTTCCTATAGTCACCGTCTTTAAGGTTTATTTACTACTAAAATAACTTACGCAGAAGAAAAATGTTTGGTCGTCGAATAAGTACACAAAGTAAAAATAAAAGCCTTACAGCATTACTATATCTCTTTTGTGGTATTGCCAATTTATGTGGAAGAAACTCGTCAAAACAGGATATATTTTAATGAGCCGCCATATATTATCGAAAATGTAACACAGGAACTTTTCAACGCATCGCATATGTATACACAGCAACGCTTAAAAACATACATTGTTTGTTGGATCAAACATGCATTCCTTCCAATTAGCAAGTTAATGCTTTATAAAGTCTAAAGATGACAAAATAGGAAGGCATTATGTATTCCTTCCCGTGCATACTAAACATTCATCAACAACAATATATATCTTACAGGGGGAAAAAATATTCCTATCCGTTATCACTGAGCATAAAACGTTTATTCCGCGAAGCAGTGACGTCATCCACTCATTTTACAAACTCCACGCATTGTGCACGGCGAAATAGCAACTGCAGTCACTGTAAGGAGCTTGGCATAAACACTGTATTTGAGCGAGACAGTTCAACTGTTTCTGAACGCATGTGTCATGTATCAGTTCAGAATATCGCCTGATCAATTAGACTAATTTGCCATCAATCAAAGATGGTCAATAACTCCGATAACACTTTTATCTTTAACTCATTAATAATTTGAGTCAGTTCGCGTTTTCAAACAGCAGTTTAGCTTGAAATACGAACAAGAAACACAGAGACATGAACATCGTCTGATGTCCAAAACACAACCACGGAGCAAGTCGAAACATGCCAACCACGACAAGTCTCGGCGAGATACCGTTGATCGCCTCTCAGCCACTATAAAAGCTGACCGGCTCGCTGAGTAAGATCAGTCTACACACAAGTCACTCGCTAGCAGTTGGAAGGCGTTGGTATATCTAAAAAGGCATTTAATAGCACCGGGGAAATAAAAAAACAACAACTAAATATCTACTGTCATCATTCAAAAAAGGTAACTTGTGGAACACATTCCACAATAACTATTTTTAAAGAAAAAGATCAATTATTTGATAAATTTACGTAACGTAACGTAAACACATGTTTTCTAAATATAATACAAATAGTTATAGTATGCTAATGTAAATTACCTTGACTTAGAAAAGACAACAAGATTGTGATTTCTCAATAAACCTTGACAGGAAAACTTTCAATGTCTTCTTTTAGGATAACCTTAAAATGAACAAGACAATTAATGTAATTACTTCAGCATTTCCGCTGCAAGGGTTAGTAATGAAACTGAATCGATATTACAAATATACTTTCATGTATGTATGTATTAATGTAGTTGTGTTTTAATTTTCCACAGGTTCAAAATGGCTTTGCTTCCTCCTGGTGGACTTCCGGAGATTGTTTTCTCCTTTGACACTACTGGCTCCATGTGCGACTGTCTCGCCGAAGTCAGAGGTCGACTCCAGGACATGATACAGCGGCTCCAGGCTGACATCCCCGCCGTCAGAATCGCCGTCTTCGCACACGGTGACTACTGCACCAAATCCACATATGTCACAAAATGGATCGACTTCTCCACTGACGTCAAAGGGCTCTGCGACTTCGTCATGAACGTTGAAGATACAGGAGGCGATTACGACTACGGCGAGTGTTACGAGCTTGTTCTCCGACAAGTTAGGGAGGAGTTGTCATGGACACCAGGATCTAACCGTGTTCTCGTCGTCGTCGGGGACGACAAGCCCCACGAACCAAACTTCAAAGCCAATAAACTAAAAATAGACTGGAGAAAGGAGACACAAACTCTGAATGAAATGGTGTGTTGGATTTCTATTAATTTCCAGGTTGTGGTCATTTTCAGACATAAATCAAATAATAAGAACACGACACTCACCAGTCAAACACCTTTGAGTCAACATTGAAGGGACTCACGTAAATGTATCCGAGTAAAGTTATCCGGGTTTTAACACGAAAATGATGAATGAATAAGAAAGGTGCAGGGACCTTGCTTTTGCTTCGCCACAACAACCGTAAATTCGACACAACGATGTTCATTCACTTATTCTATATATTAATATTAATTTCAGGGAGTGAAAATCTATGGAGTTCAGTGCGACACGGGCAATACGACGTTCTACGAAACCATTTCCAACAAGACAGGAGGTCGGCATCTTAAATTGGAAAACTTTACAAACATCTTTGACTTCCTTATGGCCATCTGCTACAGGGAACAGGGGGCAGAGATTCTTCATGTAAGTTGAAATAACTGCACCACTTTAAAATCCGTAGAGCGGCTGTCATTTTAATTGTGTGATATTCGTTGTTATAAAACTCCTTTCATCAATGATTATTTGCCCTTATCAGGTGTACGAGAAAGAGGTTCGAGCCCGTTGCGCTGATGGTGCCCTCAGCAAAGACATGGAAGGAATGTTTACATCCCTACGTGATGGAATTGTCTCCCCTTCTCCACCAAAGACAACGATTACAATCAGTGCCGCTAAGAAAGATGTGAAGGTTCCCACCTTAAAGAAAATAACATCCATTCAAAGAGTCAGAAAGCCCAAACCTAAATCCATCAGAAAGCCAAGAAAGAAATCGTTCAAGGTAAAATATTCTCTCAATTGTTTTTAAATGCGCGATCACAGTGTTTAATTCTTGTTTTCATTGTGTTAGGCTATGATCATGTCAAGGAGTCTCATAATACACTATATTATTCCAGAAATCAACAAAGTTTGTGATACCAGTTCTGAGAAGAGAGGAAGTCTTTGAGAACAACTTCAGCTTGAGAAACATGGACTGGTCACCGTGGGTCAAAGTTATCTCCCCTGACGTTCCACTCAAACAGGATGCACAATGGGAGAAAAGACGGGGTGCCAGCCCTGGATTCAGAAAGAAGACAATCTTCAAGTCTGAGAACAATAAGCCAGCTCTCTATGAGATCGGTGTTCAGTCCATCCGGTACGGACGAAGGTGTGTGGTATTCAGTAAGTTCTGCCACTATATTCCCAATAATGTTAATTGGGAAACACGGCTTCTTGGAAACAAACTTGTCAGAGCTCAGGTGAACAACGTTGTGTCTCAGGACTGCAGTGTCTATATGCGGAGGGTGGTGTACAGAAGAGCATCATACCATGCCAAAACAGCCTCCATGATAAAGTCCTATGACTACGCATGGAGACGTCTGAGGAGTTCACGATCTACTGCTCGACATGTGTTCAAACAAGGTAGCACAATTTCATCAGACAAAGTATAGAATGTTTCTGAACATTGACGCAATACTAACAGATACGGAGATATGGACATTTTTCTTAACATGCCATATATCAAAGGACATTCTGGAAAACACTGACACATAAGAGGTTAAATTCATAAGTATATAACTTTGGAAAACATTGAGATCGAATCTCATATCATACAACTTGCCAGATATTTTATGTAAATGAGAGGGCATGATGTGTCATTAAAGTGCGTGAATGAGAATGTGTGTGTTCTACCGAATGATGGACAGATGAACGTTATTTTCCTGTTATGTGAAACGCTGTATATATTTGATTGTTCATATTACGCTGATATAAATTCATATCATTCATTGACCTACAGTCTATACTTCATTTTAACATGTGCAATATCAGAATAAGAATGAATAAAACAAACTAATAAGACTTGCATAAACTTTATTTTCTTTGAAAATGTGTACTTACAAGAGTGCGTCCTCCTGCCCCCGAAACGTGGCGTTTGTTTCACACTGAAGACCTCAACTATCCGTTGTCTCGATTCAGTTTCATTTAATGCGCCCTGGCATGGACATATAGCAACATTCACTCATATCACAACCCCCCAAATCCAGCCCCGACTTCCATATCTCTTTGAGTAAAGACATCGTAAGGAACAAAACGAACAGCCGTTCTTGTTGTTACGCTTTCCAGCATGATATTTCACTTACATAGTCAAAAGAATATAGAATGTATTCATGTTTCATCTCAATTGTGTACAATGTATTTACTGCACATTTTGCATGCATTATTTAGTCAAAATTTGCAGTGATGTGCTATTCCTGTTCTCTGCATCTAATGTATTGAGTTTGGAAATTAAATTGGTGTACAATGAAAATCATATATATATAATAAGATCTAGCTATGAGCACTCCTTTGCATTTATTCATATTCACATGTCATATGAGTTTTAACTCCTATATTGTAACTCGCATATACTGAAACACTTAATATGTTAACATCCATGAACTGAAATGCATTGGGCTGTCCTCCCACCTTGAGATGAGTTTGATAACATTACAAATGTAAATACCCGAATACATGCATTAGGTGAAAAAATAACGGTATGACATAATTAATAGGACCAAATTGCATCTTATGTAACTGTTTTAGTTATTAATATGTATTTTATTTCATGATATTAATCTGTAATGATTGTCATTCAGGAAGACTTAAAGTAGTTCCAGCATAAAGCGTTATGTGTCACTCAACAGAAATATCGATTTGTATTTGGGAGTAAACAGTTTTTCAACACTTAATACATAATAATAACTGATATTTCATATGGAAGCATGTAGCTATAGTACTGCTAATAACATTTATTTCATGAAAACTAGACCACGTTTTGCAGTTATTTTGAGTCACTAGGTTAAGGTTGTTGTTTTTTAAAACGTAGGATCAGTGGTTGAAATAAAATTAAAATACTAAATCATAATTTAAGTGTTTTCAGGAAGTTATTGTCCTCGTGATGAAATAAAGAAAAAATGAAAAGAAATGGTGATTGTTAGTTCTTGTTTTATTCATCATCCTTAAGGGTTTTTTATTTCTAAAATAAGTTACGCAGAAGAAAATGTTTGGTCGTCGAATAAGTAAACAAAGTAATAATAGAAGCCTTACAGCATTACTATATCTCTTTTGTGGTATTGCTAATTTATGTTGAAGAAACTCGTCAAAACAGGATATGTTTTTGATGAGCCGCCTTATATTCTCGACAATGTAACACAGGGATGTTACAACGCCATGCATATGTGTACACATCAACGCATATATACATACATCGTTTGTTGGCTTAGACATGTATTTCCTTCCAATTAGCATTCAGTTAATACTTTATACCTCCTAAAATGACAGGCATTACGTATTCCTTCATTGTAACTCGCTTATAATGAAACACTTATGTTAACATCCACGAACTGAAATGCATTGGGCTGTCCTCCCACCTTGAGATAATGCGCAGTTTTATAACCTTGCAAATATAAATACCCGAATACATGCATTAGGTTAAAAAATAACGTTATGACATAAATAAAAGGACCAAATTGCATCTTATGTTTGTTCGTAATTTACATACCTTAAAATATATTCATGTTTCATCGCAATTTGTACAATGTAATTTATCGCACATTTTGCACGCATGATTCAGTCAAAATTTGCTGTGATTTGCTTTTCCTGTTTTCTGCATCTAATATATTGAGTTTGAAAATTAAATCGGTGTGTAATCATTGTTGCACTGACAGTAGAACTGCTGACTGAGCATAACAATCCGCGAAGTAAATGTTATTTTTAATAACTTGGTTTATTGATATATTTTAAAACGTATTCTCGGGAGTGGAAATAAAAGTAAGTATATTTTACATGTAAGGAAAAAGAGTTTTCTGAAAAGTATTATCATCTGCCGTCTCGTGAAATATAAAGAAAATTTAACGTGTCTCTTCATTTTACAAAAAGTTACTTCGCATCCTATATTGATTATGAAAACAACTGTTTCTGTTACTAAAATAAATTCACAGACACTACCAAATTAAATCAGTGTGTAATGGTGTTGTATTAACAGTAGAACTGATGACTGAGCATAACAATCCGCGAAGTAAATACGTCACACATTCTTCCTAAACTCGCTTCACTACACTGCGCTGCTCAATGAAACCGAGTCCTAGACTCGCGTGTGAGGAGAAACGAAGGTAAATAACGTGTTTGAGAGATATGTTCCTCAAGTCGTGAACGCATTTCCTGAATGTACAATCACCACATTTCCATGTCGGAAGATGTATATCAACATATTATATATCATACGTTTTATAACTTTTAAAAGACCAGAAAGTGTTCATGCTTAGATTAATGTTATGAAACTGAGCAAAATTTATTTTGTTTCCGACATATATCATGGAAAACACTGCTTGTTTCAAAATCGCATCCGGTATTAATGTTCTTACGCAACCCCTTCATTGATTACACAGCGACAAGCCCATACTGAAATACAGAAACTGAAATCGATAATCTAATAACATGTTTTGTAACTGTTCCGTGGAATTTGACTACCCTTTCATTTGCTTCATCAACTTCCTTGTATCTTACGATATGGCATTCTCTTGAACTAACTTCATAGCAGACATCGGCGTTTCTTCAACTTTCATCAAAATGAAATCAATGTTATGTGTAGATATTTCCTAAAGATTAACGGCAGTTCAGGATATATGTAAACATGAAACATGTATTGCTTAAATTCTTTTCCAGGTGTAAATATCAAGGAAACTGGCCACGGTAATACAGCTGATACTTCAAATCTGGTCGCAGGAGTATTATTAATATATGTCATGAAAACTGGTCAATGTTGTTATTTTGAATAACTTGGTTTATTGATATATTTTTAAAACGTATTCTCGGGAGTGGAAATAAAAGTAAATATATTTTACATGTAAGGAAATAGAGCTTTCTGAAAAGTATTATTATCTCGTGAAATAGAAAGAAAATTAAATGTGTCTCTTCATTTTACAAAGAGATACTTCGCGTCCTATATTGATTATGAAAACAACTGTTTCTATTCCTGAAATACATTGACAAACACTGTCAAAGATACAAACATCATGGTGTTTTTTACATGTGTTAAAAATCGCCTGCGAATCCGCGCACAAAGTAATTAAAACGCCTTATAGTACGAAATTATCTCAGAGAAAGTGTTCATTGTTGTGATACATATAAAATAGAGTTTTTCATTTAGGGCCGACATATATTATTGAAATTACAACACAGCAACGCTTCACAGGGAAAGTTTGACACGACAAAGTATTCTCCAAATGGAACACAACAATGTATATTCACACCTCATGATGGTTTACACAATCATAGGATAATCAACTGGAAGGGATGATGTTTTCCAGTGTAGTACATACACACGATCAATTAACGACAATAGTTATGCCACAGAAACATCTACAAGATTCATGTGTTTTATTACTGAGAATATTATCGATAGTTTGCTGTGTGAGTAAAGCATTCCGCGAAGCAGTGACGTCATCTACAATATACAAACTCTGTACATTGCAGCTATAAACCGTCTCCAACCAAAATATCTTCCGACAGACAGTGTAAGGAGCATTGATATAAATAATGTGTTTGAGAGAGTATGTTCATCTGTTTCTGCACGTATGTTTCACGTGTCGATTCAGAATATGAGACATTTCAAAGAGGGCACATTTCCGAAAGTCCAAGGTGCTTAATAATTCCCCGATTACATGTATCTTCAAATGATTAATCAGTTGATTTTGTTACTTTACAAACAGAAGCATATATTGAAACGCATAGACATGAACATCGCCTGCTCTTCTAAACACAACCACGGAACAGGTCTTAACATGCCAACCACGACAAGTCTCAGCGAGCTCCCATTGATCGCCTCTCAGCCAGTATAAAAGCGAGCTGGCTGCTGAGTAAGATCAGTCTAGTGACACACACTACAGTTGAAAGACTTGAATAGATATAAACTACGTTTGACAGCAGCGTGGAAATATAGCACAAGAACTATATAACTACTGTCACCATTTCAAAACAGGTAACTTGAGGAACATATTAACAGTGATGGTGTATATAGTACTGGTCTGAAAGCGAGGAAATCGTCTCCAAATAACTTACACATCTATATCTATTTTATAAGAAAAGCGTAAATTATTAAATCATATGTATTTATAACGTGAAAACATTTTTCTATATCTATAAAAATAAATTATAGCATACTTACGGAAATAACCTTTGCAAATATTTTAAAGAAACCAACATTCTTGTTTCTGAATTGACTTTGTTAAAAATTGAAATATATTGTTTTACTTGAGAATATAAACATTAAAACTAAAATGAACAAAAACTTGGATTTTTAAAACATTTTTATAAGTATTTACACTGCCAGAATTAATGGGTATAAAGCTGTATCAATTTCAAAAGTAAAACTTCTTGTATACATGTACACTCAATTGTTCTGAATATTTCAACAGATTCAACATGGCTTTGCTTCCTCCTGGTGGACTTCCGGAGAATGTCTTCTCCTTTGACACAACCGGCTCCATGAGCAGCTGTCTCGTTGAAGTCAGAGGTCGACTCCAGGACATGATACAGCGGCTCCAGGCTGACATCCCCGCCATCAGAATTGCCGTCTTCGCACACGGGGACTATTGTGACAAACACAACTACATCACAAAGTGGATCGACTTTTCCACAGACGTTAAGGAACTATGTGACTTTGTAAACAACGTCAGCAGCACTGGAGGCGGAGACTCGGACGAATGTTACGAACTCGTTCTCAGACAAGTTGGGGAGGAGTTGTCATGGACACCCGGATCCAATCGTGCCCTCGTCATGATCGGGGACGCCAACCCCCATGAACCAGACTACCCCGACAACAAACTCAAGATAGACTGGAGGGAGGAGATTCAAACTCTCAATAAAATGGTGAGCTAATTTTACTTTAGCCAAATTAAATTCTTAACATCACTAAGAAATGCTATTTTTCAAGACATTCAATTCTTAACATCACTAAGAAATGCTATTTTTCAAGACATTCAAATTCTCAATACAATGTCGAATTGCATTTTGAGTTTGATTGTCAGCTGGGGATAATACAAATCGAGTTCATTCAGAATTGCATCATGCTAACATAAGTCAAATGTACAGCAAATACATTGAAACATCCCATTCGTTTCCAGGGAGTGAAGATATATGGGGTAGAGCGCGGATGTGGCAGCATGGAATTCTACAAGAGAATGTCACAGGAGACAGGGGGACGCCATCTTCAACTCGACAGCTTTTCCAATGTCTTCGACTTCCTCATGGCCATCTGCTACAGGGAGAACGGGGCAGATATGTTTGATGTAAGTTTGCTCTTCGATTATATTGTTTATAAACATATATACTTTTCTCATAATATATTTAGTTTACTTTCCTTACCGAATATGTTTTCCGTGTATTCCTGTTTTGACATTTGTATATGTCATTTCAGGTGTACGAGAAAGAAGTTCGAACTCGTTGTGGTGAAGGTGCCCTCAGCAAAGACATGGAAGGAATGTTTACCTCACTACGTGATGGAGTAGCCTCACTTTCATCGCCAAAGAAGACCACAACCGGTTGCAGTAAGAAAGATGTGAAGATCCCCACCTTAAAGAAAACCACATCAATCACAGCAGTTCGAAAGGCCAAACCTAAATCCACCAGGAGACCAGGAACTAAATCACTGAAGGTATATTTCAGATACGTTTCTTTCCAAGTAATAATGACATACACAGTTGTTCATTTCTTTCTCATACTGCTGATAACGATCGCATTTATCGATTAAAGGTATACCCTTTTGGAACTTTAAAGGTATGACCATATCTTCATAGATTCATTATATATAATGTATTATTCCAGAAACCTACAAAGTTTGTGACACCTCTTCTGAGAAGAGAGGAAGTCTTTGAGAACAACTTCAGCTTGAGAAACATGGACTGGTCACCG